TCTTTTGTAAAGCGTGTAATTCCTCTTTTAGATCTTGCAAGAATTTCCTCACCTCCTGGAACTCATCAACTTCTTTCTCCTTTCTCTTTAGCAGTTCATTGTCTCTCTTCTCTTCCATCTCAGTTAGCTTCGCCATTATGAATGTTCTAAATTCTTTATCAGACATTTCCATGATTTGCATTGAACTGCTTGTGGATGAAGAGGAGTTATTCTTTGGTCTTGGAGGAGAGGTATTTTCTTGCTTTCCCATTTTTCTTGTGGTCCTGTGGTGATTTCTTGTCATCTGATGGATGGTGTGTTTCTTTCAAATTTTTGATGTTCAATCAGAGTGTTTAGGAGTAAGCAGAAAGAGGTGATCCGGAATCTCTTTGTCGTTCATGCTAACTTTGTTTGTTGGAGGCTGAATTATCGGTAGAAAATCTTCGTTTTTCCTGTCCCCTGCAATGACTAGTTACCAGGAGCCATGAGGAATCTTGTTCTGAAGGCCTCAACTCTCCTGCTACGCTAGCTTCATTTGTTGGAGGCTGAATTATCGATAGAAAATCTTCATTTTTCCTGTCCCCTGCAATGACTAGTTACCAGGAGCCATGAGGAATCTTGTTCTGAAGGCCTCAACTCTCCTGCCACGCTAACTTCGTTTGTTGGAGGCTCAAGACTTCTCCTATTTCTTGTTGAGCTCAGCAATACATTTAAAATTTCACATTTGTGAATATATATTCAGCATCTGTTTTAAAAGGAAGGATTTTTCTAAACATCTAGTCCACCATATTCCCCGAAGCTAACATCTCTATTATTTATAATCTTATTTCCTATAACTTATAATAATTCTATTATTCCTAGAGATGTATAACCCAGTTATGTAAAATCTTTGGAGAGGTTTTTGCTATAGGGCGCGTGCACTCGCCAGACAGACAGAGACAGAGAGACAGAAAGCGAGAAATCATCCCCCAGGGGGGGATGGCCACGCCACAATCCCTTCTCCATTCTCCTCTCGGGATCTTGGGCACGCATGCACACGTGCCTGGCGTGAGTTTAAGCCACCAGGTCCGAGACTCGAACCGTGGTTGACTACATTGGGAGTCCAGAGACATAGCCATTACGCTAACTGTTGGTCCCAAGAATTTCATCTTAAAAGGAGAGAATCCCAGGGCCAGCAGGTGGCATGGTGGTTAAGGACACTGGATTCTCGGGGGCCAGCAGGTGGCATGGTGGTTAAGGTGCAGGATACTCCCACATGGCTAACCACGGCTCGAGTCCCAGACCTGGTGGTTTGCTTTCTCACTTTCTTTCTCACTCTTTGTGTATCTCTGTCTCTGGTCAAATAAAAATAAATGAATGAATAAATAAAATTAAATAAATAATTTTTTTTTTTTTTTTTTTAAAAAAGGGCATTGGATTCTCATATGGTTGACCATGGTTCGAGTCCTGGACCTGGTAGTTTGCTTACCCTTTCTCTCTCTTTCTCTGTCTCTCACTGGTCAAATTAAAATCAAAACAAAACAAAACAAAACAAAAACAAATGGAATTAAATAAATAATTAATTTTTTTTTTTTTAAAGTGGGGAAGAGAATCTCTACATCTCTTCCCTTGATCAATGGTTTCTATCTTATGGACTGAGGTACCTTGAGTACCAAGGTCTACCATACCAGCCCAGAACAAGAATACGCATAACTTTGGTTGAGTCTAGTTAGGTAAACATTAGATATGCATGCTCAACAAACACGCTGAGAAGACTTCAAGAAAAAAACAAAAATCAACCCCCCTCTTATATTCAAGATATCACTGAATATATCCTGTAAGTACAAGGATAAGCATGTGTAATGCAATGCTGTTACAGTATAGCATAAAATGGTAAGATTCAATAAATAACTCTAGTAAATGTTTACATACAGCACATTGGTTGGTTAAGTAAAAATGTTTCCCTATCCACAATCTGTTCAGGCCACCTGCAATTTAGATATCTTTGAAAAAAAAAATCCAACAACTCTATTAGCATATTATAACCTACTCCCTGTCAATGAATACATTACCAATCTTCAGCCAAGTGAAAGAGAAGTCCTTATGCTATAGAATGCTGTTCTCTGAATAGGTTTAAAGCAATTAAATCTAAATTCAACCAAAATTTGGAAAGAGAATTAAGAGCTGTGTCAGCTGTAAGTTTTACCCCAGTCTAAAAGTAAAGCATACATCCAGCACAGAGTAAAATCAGGATGGGAGCAGAGATGAAGAACTCAGGGGCCAGGGAGTGGAGCAGCAGTAACCCAACCAAAGCCACACAGGAAAGGTACCGGGTTTGTGTTCCAGGACCAAGGTTTGATCAAGGCTAGCTGAGACTGGGAGTGGATTGCAGCATGAGGACCCTGTTAGGGATGTCTGTGTCTCTTTATCTCTGACTTTCTCACTCATGCAAGAAATAAATTAATACACTGAAAAACCAAACTGAGGATATGGGAATAAAATAAGGATTTTAGTTAACAGAAAGCAAGCAAGCAAGCTCAGAAAGATTCTGAACTCCTGAATTTACACTTAAATCATGTTTTTGTTTTGGCTGCTAAGTTCCTAGAGAAAGAAACATACTATTTTTCTAATAGAAGTTTAAAACATCTTAAGTCTCCTATGAATTACTTCCCATTTGGATTATTTGCCCACTGTATTCATTCATATAGTCGGCCATAAGAGAGCAGTTCCCTCTGCATTACCTTATCAAGCACTGCATATGGATTTTCTGCATCAAATCCAAGAGGGGCATAGCATTTGAATCTCTCTCTGAATTCTTCCTGCTTTCCCTGATCAGGGCAGAAAAAATACAGAAAGTGAGTCTCAAACTAATAGCTTCAACTGTCCTCCTAAAATCATTCTTAAAAACAAATAAGAGGGTCAGGAGATGGCATGATGGTTAAGGTGCTTGCTGGACTCCCACATGACAGACTGCAGTTCAAGTCCCAGGTCCAGCAGCTTAAAAAGCATGCCATGTGCATGTGCATGTGTGCCCAAAATTCTGAGAAGAGAATGGAGGAGAAGGGATTGCAGAGTGGCCATCCCTCCTGGGGGGTGATTTCTCACTTCTCCTTTCTCTCTTGCTCTGTCTCTCTCCAGTGAATATATGCACCCTATGGCAAAAACCTAAAACAAGAATAAAAACTTGGTAACTAGCTTACATCAAACAAAACACATTTTTTCCTTATAAGAGTGACTTCTGCATTTTGGAGAGGTGAAACTTCATGTCTGACAGTTGCTGCAATTTTTTTGGTAGTTTCCCATCTTTCAGGTAATTCCTATAAAACAAAGAGGCAAATGGGAAATTACTTCACTTCTTAAAATACATCAATTCTATAGAATTAACAATTTTTATTTCTTTATATTAAGCCCATGACATTTTTTTCATTCTTATATAAGGAGTTTATCTAAGAAGGGGATTATGAGGCTTAGAACCAGGACTGAGGTCTACACTGACCCACTGACACTTCTGGATTCAGATATTTCAAGCATGTATCGGAGTCAGTCTCATCTCAGAATAAATGGAAACCTTCTCAAAATAAACACAAATTTTCAAATTGTTTTGCTGATGTGGGAATAAAATTAAAGTACTCTGGAAATGACTTTGCTGATCTCTAACCACTAGAAATGGAAGCCAGCCACGTTTAGCAATCTAGCAAGTGAGAAAAGATGCTTCGAATCTGTTGGGGCAAAGATGAAAATAGGAATCAATCCCATCCTCTGCTTTCCTCTAGTTCCCAAAGCTTTGTGCTTTTTTCTTTCTTGATAGACAGACAGAGCACTGAGGTTGGGCTTATTTTAGATGACTAGGATTTTTGAAGGGAGAAGAGGCAAAGGTAAGAGAAGGTCAATTCCTACTTGATGTCGGACAAAAGAAGCAATAAATAGTCCAGGTACCAACTCAAGGCTACCCTCTCAGCCTGCAATGCAAATAATACAAACACAAATTATTTCCTTTAAGGAGCTGTGGTGCATAATTACTGTTGAAAAACGTTCCTTGTGTCCAGACTAACCAGCATTGTTTCGCTGGGTCATCTCCTGGGACACTAAAATTGTTTTGTCATACAAAGTCACCCATAGTAATAGACTCCACTTGTGTAGTTGAAGTGCAAAAACCAAAGCTTCTTAAGACTATTTTGTAACCCTCAATAAATATTTGATGAATGATTCTGAACTTGCCAATTATTAAGAGTGTACTGTGCTAAGCATAACTAGTATTTGTGAAGTGGGCATGACAAAGGTAAAAGACATTCTTTGGCTTGTTTTATAATCGGTCAAAGTGAGAGAGAGGCACACCCAATACCTATTCCACCAACAACCTATGAACTTTTGGGGCAGCCCTATGGCCCAGTAGTTGAGGGCACTAGATAGAAATAAGGTTTGAGTCCTGGAACTGGTGACTTGAAAAACACTTTGAGTATAGTACATGTGCATGCGGGTCTAAAATCCTGACAGAATGGAGAAAAGAGGGGATTGTTATAGTGACCATGCCTGACCGGGGTTGGATGTGTGTGTGCACATGCGTGCACGCATGCACCCTTTCTTCCTTTCCCATCTCTGTTTCATTCTCTGGTGAACATACATGTCTTCTGGCAGTATTATTTTAAAAAGAATATATAAATTTTCATCAGGATAGTATATGTTATGGAATCACAACAGTTAGGGAACAACATTGTGTCATGACAAGAACATCAAACCAACTCAGGACTCATGAGACCTGAACTCTTAAAATCCTAGTCCTTCCATCTTGTGCTTTTTTCCATCAAAACTTTGTGTCCTTGTATGTATAGGTCTCACTTTGTGTTTCTAAGTGCATGCCATGGAACCTAAATGTACAGGCAGTTACTTCAAAGGCCATGGCTTTGTCGTGGGAGGTGGAGAGGTGTTATATCAGAGGGCTCAGGCTCCTAAACCCTCTTCAGACACAACTAGACCTGCTTTGTATTTGGAGATTCCAAACAAACTTTCACGTGATAAAAAATAAATTTCCTGGGGCTAGCAGATGGCTTAGTGGTTACATCACTGGACTCCCAAATGGCTAACTGTGGTTAAAGTCCTGGCCCAGTGGCCTGAAAGTAACACCAGGCATGTGTGTGTGCATGCCCAAGATCCCAATAGAGAACAGGAAAAAAAGGATTGTAGTGTGCATCCCCCTTAGCGGATGAGTTCTCACTTTCCCTTTCACTGACTCTGTCTCTCTCTCCAGCAGGCACAACCACCCTATGGCAAAAACCTTTTAAAAAAAATAATGCGACCAGCAGATAGTGTAATGATTATGTCACTGGACTCCCATGTAGTCAACTCCCATGTAGTCTCGGATCCAGCAACTTGAAACTCACGTCGGGTGCATGTGTGCATGCCCATGATGCCAGGAAGATAATGGAGGAGAAGGGACTGCAGCCTGGCCAGTCCTTCAGAGAGTGATTTCTCACTTTCTGTCTCTGTCTCTCTCTGTGTCTCTAGTGAGCAAACATCCCTGTAGCAAAATTCCCTAAAAAAATTTAAAAAATAAAAACTAAAAAATACATTTCCTGAAAACCAAAAGATCAGATGATCCCCAAAGTCTCCCTATCTACTCAAAGAGGAGGTAACACGGAATCTGAGACTCATGGGAATGACTAGGCTTGAACAGGCAGAGATTAAGGTGAGATCCTTTGCAATTCTGTGAGGTACAACTACCAGTACAGGATGGGGTGAATGTGTGGGCACTTATGGCAATTGGATGGTATTCAGGAGGCTGGCGGCAGTCAATTAAGGTTTCTGAGCAAGAGAAGAACTTGATAATCCCTGTAGGTTAGAACTTTAATCTTTCTTCAGAGTAGACTGTAGATGGAATGTGAGGAAGAACGAGGTAAATGAAGAAGCTATTGCTGGCCCAGCCTTTTGTATAGTTTGTAGCAAACTGAACTGCAGTACTGGAAGCCACATGACTGACTATGCATTCAGGTGCCTAGTCCTATCAGCCTGAAACACACCAAGAGAGCATGCACATACCCAATGAGCTGGAGGAGTGGAGGAAGGGAATCACGGCATGATGAGATCCTATCAAGAAAGCCTTTCTGGGAACCAGCAGTTAGCGTAATGGCTATGTCGCTTGACTCCCACGTAGTCGACCGCGGTTCGTGTCCCGGACCCGGTGGCTTAAAAAACTCTCGCTGGGCTCGTGTGCGTGCGTGCCCAAGATCCTGAGAGGAGAATGGAGGAGAAGGGATTGCGGCGTGACCATCCCCCCTGGGGGGTGATTTCTCGCTTTCT